ATGGATACATTTATCTTATTCTCCTAACACTATTCTTACTAGGTATCCTGAGGCTGTAGGACAATTAATACTCAAAGGAATAAAAGCTTTGACATTTTTAGTACCCAAACAATCAGCTCAAAAGGTAGAGCTTAATGCAGTATTACAAGCTTTTGTGATGTTTAAAGATTCTGTATTTAATTTATTTTCCGATAGTCAGTATATAGTTAATGCTATAGTATCCCTTGAAGATGCTGATAGGATTTCCCCTTCCTCTACTGTTTTCTCTTTGCTTTCCACTCTACAAAGTCTAATCTGGGACAGAAAAGATCCATTCTTTATAGGACATATCAGAGCACATACAGGATTGTCTGGAGCCCTTAGTTTGGGCAATGATTTAGCAGATAAAACTACACATGACATACATATTTTCTCTACACTAGAAGAAGCTACAAATTTTCATAAAAAGTTCCATGTCAATGCTAATACCTTACAAAAGCATTTTAAAATAACTAAGGAACAAGCTAGACAAATAATAAAACAATGTCAAAATTGTGTGATCTTTTTACCACAAGTTAATCTTGGAATCAATCCTAGAGGACTGATACCTAACCATATTTGGCAGATGGACGTCACACACTTGCCAGAATTTGGAAAATTAAAATATTTGCATGTTGCAGTTGATACTTCTTCTGGATTTTTGATGGGCTCCCTTCATGCCGGAGAAAAAACTAAAGATATTATAGCTCATTGCTTACAAAATTTTGCCACTGTGGGCGTTCCAAAACAGTTAAAAACAGATATTGCCCATGGTTATACTTCTACCTCTTTTAAACAATTTTGCTCATCATTTGGCATTACTCATATAACAGGAATCCCATACAATCCACAGGGACAAGGCATAGTTGAAAGAGCTCATCAAACTATTAAAATGTACTTATTAAAGCAAAAAGAGTGAATTGGGAAGGGGTATATATTCCCCAAAGATAAACTTAAAATAACCCTTTTTACTCTAAACTTTTTAAATTTGGATTCATCAGGAATAAGTGCTGCGGAAAGGCATATGTGTCCAAAAAATGTACATAAGCCCAAGGAACTTTGGAAGGATATTCTAACAGGACAATGGAAAGGTCCTGACCCAGTAATTGTCTGGAGTCGGAGGTCTGTTTGTGTGTTTCCACAGGGAGAACAGCAGCCGATTTGGATTCCAGAGAGAGATTAACTAAAGCGATTTCTACAGACCAAAAAAAAGATGATTTGGCTCAAATCCATAACAGCTGATATCCAAAACTCCAGTTTGGCTATTCTTACATCTGCAACAGAACCAGGATGCTTTTTTCAATATCTATTTTATTATTACCCTTTCCCATATCATGAAGTTCTATTTTGTTTTTTGAGCTCATACAGACCTAGGTTAATGTTTTGCTGATCAGTTCTATTTTTTGACTACAGAGTTTTTAAACATTGCAATGGAGATTTCACCTGTAAAAAGTTATAAGGCCTTTACTATTATGTTATGTGTTGTATGTATTATATTATGTGTGCACACTTGTGTTTTATGTTATATGTTTGTATGTACGTATGTCTATATATCATATATGAAGAGCGCTCATGAAAAAAATGGATCCAAATTTTTTTTTTACTCACGTGATTTAAATGGTTTAATTTAAATTGGGTAAACAGCTGTTGAGGATTGTTTTAATATGTGAACAAAAAAGAGGTTAACAGATCTGTTTGTTTACTTTCACCTTTCCTTTTCATTATATTTAATAATTCTGTTCAAGATAATGTAAATTGTTCAGAAAATTGTTTTCTTTTAATGCCTTTTGGAATGTTACATATTTTTTTTCTTTAGCCATTATTGCCAGAATTCCTATCTTCATCCCAGTGCCGGTGAAGACAAAGATAAAACCAATCTACAGCTTCTGCAATAGCCATCACTGAACTGCTTGCAGAACTTGCCTGGACTATGTATCACTTGTATGCATTTTGAACTCACTTGTATGCATTGTGAACTATCTGTTGGTGCAGCAACTTGTGGTAGTGTTGGGGTATTTTTGCTGATGGTGTCATCGGTGGTACAATTTTTCCAAAAGGAGCCATCAATTGGCTTGGTGTATCTTCCTCCCTTCTGCTTGTCATGGTCATTCAGCTAAAATTTGGGGGCCAACAGAGGTGAGGCAAAGAACCTCACCCCCCCCACCCCGCTGGAACAAAGACCTATCCACAGGTGTGGCTGTATGCTGGACCGGTAGTCAATGATGGGTAAGATCCAATTGCAATGGTACCAACCTAAGACAGGTAAGGACCATATGTACTATTGGACAACCTAAGGCAGGCAAGGTCCCTAAGCCACATGCTTGTTGTTTAAACAGAGAGGGGGAGATGTTGAGAGCCACAGCCGAAGGGGCCCCAGCAAACTTCCAGCTGCCAGCTGATGATTGGCTCACAGCGGCCCCAGCAAACTTCTAGCTGCCAACTGATTGGATCCTCTGCGGTGATGCTCATTGGGCTGTTTCCCCGCCCTTTCAGACCACGGAGCTGCTCATTGGGGGACTTTTTTTGGCTCTGCCCATGCGACCCAGCCAATCAGCCTCAAGAGCAGGAGGAGTGGGGGAGGTTGAGAGGCTTGTGGGAAGCCGGTGGTGGCAGTTGGGCTCTGAGGATTTTTCCTGAGGAGCTGTGTGGTGTGGTGTGTGTGTTCTAAAAATAAAGTTTGTTTCTTTTGACAAGTGGCTCCTGAATTGTGCCCAGCCAGACTGCGGCAATGCCCATTTTACAAAAGGAAATTCAGGCAATGAGTGTCATGCAGCTTATTCAGGGGAGCATCACACAGCTAACGAGAGGCAAAGCCAGTATCCATATTTATTCTGCTCTAAATGGCCTTCACATTCTGAGCTTGACTATCATAGCAGCTGTCCACATACTTCCAGAAAAACCTGGGTCATTAGCTTGGGTGAGGGAACATGATTGGCACCTGGGCTGCAGAAGCAGGTCTGCTTTCATGAGTTAAATAACTTCTTGGGATCTGGACCCAGTACTGACTGATAACATAGGGTCCAGAAAGGCAGACAATAGGAAGGACGTGCATTTTTTCAGAAAGTAGTTATAAGTTATGGGCTTCTAGCGTGAAAAACTTGGATAAGGAGGAGGAATGGTAGACAGCAGGTAGAATGTTGCTTCTACTGTTGATCCTGGTGAAAACCATTTGAAAGCTGCTGTCATGAAAGATCTGGGAAGCTGTGCTAACTTATTTGGACATTTCCCTGTAGGTGAGCTATTGAAAATTTTAAGCAGAGTAGTGGCATGATCTATTGTTATATTTCATCAAAGTCTAACCATATTTTACATAAATTGGTCCTGGAAAAAGTCTTCCCCCATATCTGCCTGTGTACCAGCTTGCCCATCAGAGAGTATTGATCATAACTAGGCCCTCCATAGCATCTGAAAATGAAGGTCATTAATTAAGAGATGGCAATCATGCTCTAAGTACATGAAGAAGGCATGGACTGAAAAACTCCATTAGAAGCACATCCCCCAGTCTCAATAGGTGCCAGCAAGAAGTCATACAAGGTACTTAATTCTATTGGTTTCTGAAGAGCAGATTATCATATCCTTGAGCTTGTGTGTGAGACTCATATCATATGCCTAGGCTACACGCTGGGGCAATAATGCTTTCACCTTTGTTTACTCACTAGAAGTAGTAATCTCTTGTGCTACCAGGTCACTAAACAAAAATGCATCTGGATAAACAATTGAACCTAGAACACAAAGCATCCAAAAAAGTGGCTGATAGGAGTTTTGCCCAAGTGGGAAGAAGGGAATCCTGGAGGAGTTGCCTTTATTCAAAGACTCAGAAGCAGCCTTGTATGCAGTATCCATGACCTTGGTTATTATCAATCTGACCATATTTAGAGGGGGCCTAGTGTTAAGATTGGCTAGTATACATCTGACTCTCTTTTTCTGCTGAAGGCCTGGCTGGATATGTGGTTAAGATTGTGGGTTTTGAAGTTAAATTAGTCTGGTTTGGAATCCTAGCTCTGTGTCTCTTTCTACTAGTCTGATTTTGGCAAGTCTCTTAATCTTAGTGAGTCTCACATTTCTCATAAGCATTTTGTAGAGGTTTTCAATGTCTTACACTAAGTAATAGTTCAAAAAATGAAAACTCCATCTCTCCTCTCCTCCTACTTCATCTTCATCTTCATTGTTATTATTATTGCACATAATGTAATCCAGAGGAAGTTGCTTGAAGCATTGTCCCAAGGGAATTCTAAGTCAGAGCCACAGATACTTTCCAAAATCAAGTTACTAGTTCACAGGGGTCTAAATCAAAGCAAGCAATCAAGGAATTAATTTGAGGGAGATGGAAACAGTGAGATCAGGGAGAGAGGTTGAGTTCCCTGAGAGGGGATGAGAAAGAGGCCTAGGGCTGGGGCTGGGGCTCAGTGGTAGAGCATCCGCTTCACACTGTGAGGCACTGGGTTCAATCCTCAGCACCACATAAAAATAAATAAAAATATTGTGTCCAACTACAGCTAAAAAAAGAAACTTAAAAAAAGAGGCCTGGAATAAAACTATTCTAGAATGTAGGTGACTTCAGTGGCTTTTTATTTAGATTACATGACTACTGTCTTGGTTCTTTTGAAAATATTAAAATAAGACAACAGAGTAGATACTGTGCCCTGCCAGACTCCTTCTGATAAGTGGAGGATCTCAGGATTTTCTTGCATTTGTCTTATAAACTCTGGCCTGTTGTTGCAGAGATGAGATGGTGACTCCTAAGATGGTAACTCCTTTGGCTGTTACTCTACCAATAGGCCCAGTATAGATCTTACCATACTATCATTATAAGCCCCACACCTCTCTCTCTATAGCATTGTTTCCATCCTAGGTCATGTGGCAGGAACACCAAAGTGCAGAATGGAAAACAAGATCTTTATATGTCAGGTACAGCAGGAAATATGTCTAAAATGGAGTGGGTGCTCATTGAAGATTAGGGAATAAGAGCGATGATGGTGGGCTGTGGATATAGCTCAGTTGGTAGAGTGCTTGCCTTACATGCACGCGGCCCTGGGTTCAATCTCCAGCACCACAAAAAAAAAAAAAAAAAAAAAAAAGAAGAATGCTGGTATTGGAGAACTAGAGTTGATGGTAGATATGTTGATGTTGGTACTAGAGAACTAGAGTTATGATAGATATCTTGCAAGTTCCCAAGCAATAATCCCTGAAGTTCTGTGGTGCATATGTGCCTAGAGGCAACCCAGACATTGCCTCCCATATCAAATTTCCCATCATCCCTCAACCAGTACCAGTAGTTCTATCCTCTGTCTTTGACCCACCAGGATGTACCCTAAGGAATTTTCTAGGTATTCTGCTGTTACCCTACTGTGTAAACTGGCTACAGGGATATCCTTGATGCAAGAATTTTTTTTTTTAAAGTAGTGAAGGCTAAGACTAGACTTTCTATGAGAGTAGGTGTTTCTGAAGCAGGAATATAGTGAGATGACATAGACAACTTTGGCAGTGGTGAAGTAGGTGGATCAGTCATGTGGCTGGTAGGCGGTATTGCAGTAGAGAAATTCTTCTAACATTGGACTGATTCAACTCTTTGATTCAGTCTGTAGGTGGATGGCACACAGATGTATGAAGCTGGGCCATATGGCTGGGAAGTCCATAGAGACAAAGGATCTTGTAAGATAAATAAGGTGGCGGTACCCCTGTTTACCTTTATATCTTCATTTTGTATATATGTTCCAGAAAGCTAGACTTTTTCCTAACATTGGAACTTTGTACTTGCCCTTCCTTCTCCCTGAAATGTTGTTTGCCTGGTTTGTTATTTTTCATCCTTTAGGTCTTATCTCAAAAAATTTTTTCACAATGACTTTGTCTAGAGTTGACTCTTAATAATTACTTTCTTTAAAATTGCTCTATTAATTTACTTGGTGGAATTTATCAATTTCTGCAGATCAATAGAAAGATCTATATCTATCTATCTACTTTTTTGTGGTCCTGGGGACTGAACCCAGTGCCTTTTGCATGCAAGGCAAGCACTCTACAAACTGAGCTACATCCTCAGCCCCTCTATCTACTTATTTATTACTTTTCCCCTACTGGATTACAACATTGATGAGGTCAAGGAACTTTTTAAGAAATGTTTATTCTTAAGTTTTAGGTGGACACAATATCTTTATTTTACATTTATGTGGTGCTGAGGATCAAACCCAGTGCCTCGTGCTGCTAGGCAAACACTCTACCGCTGAGCCACAACCTCAGCCACTCAAGGACCTTGTTGTTCCTTTGCAACACTGTTTCCATATTAACAGAATGGTACATATTACATATTAATTACATATTTACATATTTAATACATATTTATTGAGCAAATGAATGAATGGGGAACCAAGTTGGGATATAATAAAAAAAAAATGTTAGGACACCCACCACCATCACAAAGATAATGTTGTCGCTGTGGAAAAGTCCTGGTTAGGAATAAATTTATGTGTGATGGTGTCCCAGGAGCATTTTTGTATCAGGAGTAGAAAAAAACTGGACTTATCTTTGACCCAGATACAGTGTCAGAGTGTGCAATGTACTGGAGAGTCCCATTATCACAGCATTGCCTATGGGCCCCATTGTTAAAGTATAGGATGAACTACAGTAAACAACAGGAGTAGTGTCAGGGTATGGGCATTTCTCATCACCTAAGTCCAACTGACTGACTCTGAAACTAAATGAAGTGCTGTTCTACATAGCTAAAATTTAGTGGCCCATGTTGAACCACTTTTGCTAGTTGTGACTGGGTCTGATAATCATAAAATTCCATATTACCTAAATTTCCTTGGGTGACATTTCCTATCCATTTGTGAGTACTCAGTTTCCAGGATCCCTTTGGAAATCCTGGCAGTCTGGGGTAGAGAACATAGCAAGGTCTAACCACCAGAAGAAAGTGAAACACAAGGGCTAGATTCACAAAAAAACAGATGCTCCTTATTTGTGATTGGAAATAAAAACAACAGTAAAGTATAGATATGTGTCAAAGAAGTCCAATGAAATGCTAAGTAATTATTCCTGAGATTCTAGTTTGCTGAGTTTTCAAAAATATCAAATCTTTTCCAAATATATTTCTTAGTTTATAGGCACCCCTGCTTTCCTGGCAACCTATGTGTGTGCCAAGTGTGCCTGGCAGGTTAAGCAGCAATGAACAGCCATTGTGCCTCCATTGCTGTTGACTTCAGTGACCTGAGTATTTTGTCACCAAGTATTAGGATGCTTCAGGAAACAACAATATCTGTCTCAGACAGCTTTGATAGTCTGTAGTTTTCTTTTGCAAAGAAAGACATTGATGACATCCACAATAAGCTTCCAAATCAAACACAGTGGAAATGACCACGAGTACTGTGATAAAAATGAACCCCAACAAAACTGGAGGAATCAGCTTTGCTATGGCATGGCTAGTTAGATAAATCAGAATTTGATCAAAGGTGAACAGAGTCTTTATGACTATGGCTATGGTTTGAGATGAGAGGAATCCGTTACCCTCAGTTAATCCATTACCCTGGATAGTTGGCATATTGGCCAGATAGGAATGGGCTCAAGAATTCTCTCAATATTGAAATTTCTACTTTTCAATGTGGATTCAAAGGTGATGCCACTTCAAGAAGTTCTGGACATGACACACCATGTATTCATTTTGCTTTTGAAACCAAGTCAGAAAATTAGGATATCATCTAGATAGAGAACAGACTGTCTGCAGGAGATCACATAAGATGTTGGTCATTAAAATGATAATGGGTAACATTTATTGAGCACTTATTATGTCCCTGGTCTTATTCTTTTTTTATATATACTTATTTCTTAGTTGTAGTTGGACACAAAACCTTTATTTTATTTGTTTTTATGTGGTGCTGAGGATCATACTGCACATGCTAGGCGAGTGCTCTACCCCTGAGCCACAACCCCAGCCCCTGCCCCCCCCGGGTCTTATTCTTATTCCTGTTCTTTAGATTATAATACTAAGACACAGAAAGGATAAAGTAATTTGCTCCAAAGTCATATAGTAGTAATTGGAAAAGCTGGATTTTTAAAAAATATTTTTTCTAGTTGTAGATAGACACAATACTTTTATTTTACTTTGATCTGGTGCTGAGGCTCGAACCCAGTGCCTTTCATATGGGAGGTGAGCACTCTAACACCGAGCTACAACCCCAGCCTGGAAAAGCTGGAATTTGAACCAATGTAGTCTGACTATAAAGCTGATACTCAGAACCTCTATGTTAAACAACTCTGAAGTGCTCTTTCCCATTCCACTAAATGCTAGGATATATTCAGGACATTGCTTAGGCTAAATAGTTTTATGGTAAATTTGCCTTGGCCAAGTTGCAACTTCTACTTGTCACTTTCCAAGAAATCAACACAATTATAGGCCACTGCATGTCCAATTTCATGATGCCTCAGAGCTTGGAAATCAGTATGAGCAGGTAGTAGTGATCATATTGAGATCATTGACATTTAAGTAAAGGTAGAAATCTTCATTTTTCTAATTTAGAAAGAAACTGGAGTCTCATCAAGGAAAGTGAATGAATCACTGCAGCAAATTGGTGTCTTACCCTTGGCGTCTTAGATGGAATACAAAAACCGAGCAGTAACTTGAGCCCTGGAGTCCAGAGTGAAGGGAACAGTGGGACTTCAATGTAAGGGAAATTTCCCTGCTCACTACCAGAAAATACTTTATGAGAACTAATGTTCTACATGATCGAGGACTGAGAGGGCACAGGGGGTATCAGGTAATTCTATCCCTTTATTATACAGTGAAAGCCCAAGCCTACTTGAAGAACTTCTAGCCAAGAAAGGCTGAGGGTCCAGTGGAAGGATGAACACTGTAATAGACTCACTGGCCTATTTTCTTCCATTTTTAGCTTAATGGCATGTCTCCATGGTTACTGATCCCTTTCACAGGTAGTGCCTGTCAGCATTGTCAATAATAATAGTAATAATAGGTGGCATTTTTTATTACATACTGTTATGGTTTACATAAGAGTTGTTCCCCCAAAAAAGCTTGTGTTAAGCAATGGAGCAATGTTTAGAAGTAAAATGTTTGGATTATTAAATCTGTAACCTAATCAGTGGATGAATCTATTCAATGGATCAGTAATTTGAATAGATCACTGGGTGGTGACTATACGTAGGGGGAGTGTGGCTGGAGGAAGTAAGTCATTGGGGGCATGCTCTTGGGGGTTATATTTCATCCCTGGCTCCTAGTACGCAGGCTTTCTCCCTCTCCCTCTCCCTCTCCCTCTCCCTTTCCCTCCTAGCTGCTGTGAGCTGAGAAGCATTCCTCTGCTACACCCTTCTGCAATGATGTTCTACCTCATTTCAGACCCAGAGCAATGAAGATGAAGTTCACAGGCTGAATCGCTGAAACCATGACACCAAAATGAACGGTTCCTCCTCTAAGTTGTTCTTGTCAGGTATTTTGGTCACAATGATGAAAAGCTAACCGACACACATATACTATTGCCAGGCCACTGTGCTAACCACTTTACATGCATTATTTTGTTCAAACTTCATGACTATTTACTATGCCCATTCTATTAGTATCCTATTTTAAAGAAAAGGAAACCTAGCACACAGAAGTTATATGGTTTGCCTAGGGTCACAGAGAAGATAGTAGGGCCACTAACAATTCAAATGGACTGAATTCAAAACCTACTCTCAACTGCAAGAATGGAAGCAATCATGACCTATTCCTATGTCTCAAGGCCTTTGCATTTACTGTTCCTTCTGCTTGAAACAATTTCCTCTATATTGTCACATGGATGCTTCTTTCTTAGCATTCAGATCTCAACTTAAATGTCATCTCATCACGAAGGCCTTCCTTGATCGCCCCATGCCTATCAAAGGATCACATGAAATCATGCTCTTCATGTTTTGTTTTGTTTTGTTTTTTCAGTCTTCTCCACACCAACCAGAATGAAAACTCCACAAAGGTGGAGTTTTATTCTGTTTTGGGCACAGCTACATCACCAGAATCTAAAAGAGTGATTGGTATATAAGAACTCGGAAATAGACATTTGTGAAGTAAATGGCATTGCTTTG